AATTCAGCAGTGACTGCAGAAATAGCGATGTTTGGATATTCAGAGAAGCCACGCAAATGTCACTCACTTGAAATTAATTGAAGTGGGAAAATATGTGCATGGCCTAGAAATCCCACACCTTCCCTGCATGGGGAAGAATCAGAGCCCATACTTGGATCCCTCAGGGAACCACATTGCCCAGATGAGGAGAGATGGGAATTAACATTTCTGCTACTTTCAGATGTCAGCAGTAAGCTGACATGAGTGGGGCAAACATTTTGTAGTGATGCACAGAAGCACCCCCAGAATCACCTGCTGTAGCATACAGCATTAAAGCTTTTCTGAATAACTATATTTTCTTACTATTTATTCTTGAGCTGTGTGCAGGAAAAACATTTCACTTGCAGCATCTGGCAGAACCCTGAATTCCACATGTGATTCAGCAGAGTTAAGAGCTGGCGGAAGTTATTTTGGTCCTCAGTGTTATAAAGTCTTTTACCGAATCAATGGGAGGGTTTTTTGAGGTGCATCTGAGCTGCCAACACCTTCTGTTATCAGCAACACAGGAAATTTCTGTGCCATATATAATTTACTTAACTCTTCATTATTTAGACTGGGAAAATACACAACAAAGTTATTTCAGAAGTACAGTTCTTAAATGCTGTCAGTAACATCTGGGAGCTACTTGGTATCTGTCAAACATAACTCCTGATCTTGCAGGGTTATTCTCTGTGCAATGCTTATCATTGATAAAATTGTGGAAACTCATAACATTCGGTTTGAACAAGAGGCCAAATTTTTTCATGGTGTGTCCACACTGAACCTCTTTGGCAGTAGGTGACAGAAGATTTTGGGATTCCTTGCAATCCGTAGAGCCAAGTGTCTACACCAGAAAATCGTGTCAGCTGATGGCAACTCTGATAATCATAGGTACAGATACACCTCTGCTGAGACTCCAGGCTATACGATTTGGAAACGCAGTTAGTGTGTAATTGATTTGACACAAAGTTTCCAGGGAGGCCGAAGTTTAAAACCACTCCGTTTCTGGAGTGCTGAGTTAAATGCCAGTGGTACTTTAAAATGTCAGAAAATGCTTCCCTAAGGTGTAAGGAAAGAGAGAAGCCTCAGGGGCTGCCCTTTAACTGCCTTAGAGGAAGCAGATGAGCTGGAGAGAAACCACTAGATTCTTGCAGGTGGGACCACGGTTGTGGGACTGCAGAGCAAGTCTCTAGAGTGGTTTTCTAGTGTCTTCTACAAACATTAGGCATGTTTCTTCTTGCAGTTTTCTGGGAGCCTAATGGGAGTTGTACCTGCTACCTGGCTTATTTTTGTGTGCTTTGGTTGGTGCTTCTGGAGGATTTCTTTTCTGCGCCTTCAATAGTGATGGCCAGACTCGACCCTCTGGCTCTGGCCTTTGGAGCACATGTAGGCTGTTTCTCCATCTCCACAACTCCTTTCCCACAGTTTATTTGATTTCTCTTGGATTTCTTCTTGGATAACTTCTGTCTTTGGATTGCTGTACTGTTCATTTTTGACTAGACTAGCAAGGCCTGCCTATCCCACCCCTCCTTATCCCCTAGGTTTACAGTAGAAGTAGGATTTGCTTTAAGGTTATGTTCAAACTGCTGTGCACCTGTCCAGACTCATCTTCCAGTTCTTTGCCCAATGTAATGCTTTTTATGTTTTTTACTATTCTTTTTAAGGAAAATGCAAAAAACGAGGAGATGGTTTGAAACTGGAGAATGACCCTCAGGAGGTGAGTCACCTAGAATTCAGAGGTCTGAGGCCTCTTGTCCACCTTTGGTCCATGGGGAGCAAGTTCTTTATTTGTTCCTGCTCTAAGGCCTGCTTGGCAGGTGGTTGAGAGACAGTGGGTGATGCCAATGTTCTTCATTCTTTACTCTGTGCATTTCAGCCCTGCTCCTGCCCTCACTGCAACTTCCCTGCTGTTTTCCATTCTGTCACTGGGAATGACTGTGCCCAGATGTTTGCTCAGGAGCTTTGTACCTGTCTTCCTGTGGGCCAAAGCAGAAATTCCTTTTGTCAGGGCCTTCTTGTGGGGCCTGAAGAAAAAGGCCACTCTGGCCACTCCTAAGATCTCAGCTGTTGCACTCTCACTGGCACCCATCTGCTCAGGTTCAGATGAGGAGAATTTTCCTCAAAATATTCTCCCATGGGAAAGGCCTTATGAGAACAGTTACCACAACTGCTTCTTCCTTTGCAAATGTGGGTACATTTTCCACTCCTGGGAAAGGAGACAGAATTGTTCCTGGGGCACCAAATTCCAGTAGGAGCCATGGGGACTGAGCTGGGACCATGGGGACCAAGCTGGGACCAGTACTGTGTGGTCTTAGCAGCATGCAGAGTCCAAATGATGAAAAGCCAATTGGGTACTAATCCTGTGAACCTCCATGGGAGAAACTGCCTCCTGCTTTTGGACACCAGCAGTATTAAGAGTAGAGTCTGAGTCAGGAAAAAGATGCAATGGGAGCTGTGTCCTTTTTCCTCCACTCTGTGGTTTGTATGGTGTTCTCTTACCAACACAGGATTTGGGAGCACAGAGGAAAGGACAGGGGTGGGTTTTAGCATGTGCTGTCAGAGACCGTCACATGCTTCACATCCTGTTCCTATGGAAAATGGAAGCTGAGAATCACCAAGTATCTTATTTCAATGATAGTGGTGTGAAATCCATGGATACTCCTTACAGTGGTTGTCACTTTAGAAAGTTTGCTCAGTCAGTACTGTATCCGTTGTGTTCTGTATCAGCCTGAAGTTGAATCCAGTTATTTACTGCTTCTTTGCCTTTATTTCCTTTAGGCAGAATCGGAAATGGCTCTGGATGCAGAGTTCCTGGACGTCTATAAGAACTGCAACGGTGTAGTTATGATGTTTGACATCACCAAGCAGTGGTAGGAGACCCTTACTTGGCACCATGTGATTCTCCCTTGTTCAGGCAAAACAAATGACTTCCAGATTTCCAGATTCCTAGTTGCATTTGGAAGCTGATAACCAGCCTAATAAGTTGGAGCAAGCTTGTATCCTTTAAAATAAAAGCTTTATCATGTGAGATGGCTTTTAATACACTCTTCTCCCCGGCTTGTTCCAAACAAGCAGTGTCCCAGTGGGTTGTGTGCTGCAATTGCTGATATGCTGCTGGCTGAGGATTGATAATTAGTGCCTATCTCAGGTGCAAAGTGCATGTTGCAAACCCCTGCTCCCCAGGACACAAGGGAAAGGAGGATGCTAGTGAGAAATTCCCAAGAAACTGGTATTAGTGAGGATTATTTAGAGACCCCGGGCTGCATTAATATACAGAAGTAATGAGCTGTTGGTTTTGCACATCTGAGGAGAGTGAGAGAGATAAGGAATCCAGAGTGGAAAGAGGAGGGAGTTAGAGCTCCTGCTTTATATTTAGGCTGGTGTCGTTCAGGTTTGGTGTGGGTCAATGAGCCTGTGGACAGCTGAAGGGAGGGAATCCTTTCCTTCTGCTGAACCCACAGTTTTGCAGGACTGAGATTGCTGTAGGAGATGTGAGGGCTCTGGTGAAAGTGGATTACTGAGCTTTTGAAGTTGGTTTTGAATAAAGAATCATGCAAACATATTGAGGGTTAATGTATTTCTCTGTTAGGGTAAAGAAGCCACAGACTTGGAAGGGTTTTGGAAAAAAAAAATCCTGTTGGTTTTTTTTTTTTTCTTTGTGATTTGTGCATGAAACTCCTAACAGAAGGATGTTCCCACTCATCTGCTCTCTCTCTCCCCTCTGATGAAGGACATTTAACTATATTCTGAGGGAGCTTCCTAAAGTGCCGACGCACGTTCCAGTGTGTGTGCTTGGGAATTACCGGGACATGGGGGAGCACCGGGTCATCCTGCCCAGCGACGTGCGGGACCTCATTGACAACCTGAACAGGTGAGCGGGCAGGGAGCAGGCCTCAGCTGCTCCCTGCCATCCCCTGTCAGTAACCGTGTTACTGCCATGTTTCACACCCATGGCATGTGTGCCCTCTGTGCTGCACACCTGCCTCGGCTCCCAGAGCTCCCCGGCTCATAAGCAGCATCTGCTGACACCATGGGCCCTTTGATCTGGAGCAGACTGTTTGCCATGCTCCTGGAAACAGGGAGTGGCTGGCAGCATGTGCCTTTCAGAAGTGCTGTTCCCAACAAGTCATCTTCTTTCTGGATAGCCTTCTCCTGTGAGAGAGTCCTCTCCCCATAGCACAGCTGTTCCGTGCTACACGAGAGCCAGCCAGTGCAGCTGCGTCCTTTGCTCTGCCTCTGAGCCTCCCCCAGGCAGCACTTGCAGGGCACGGCCAAGTCACACGTCCCTCACCAGCCAGACAAGCATTTCCCTTAAGCAGAGATCTAAGGTGCTTTGTTACATGGTATAAAATCGTCTTTGTTGGTCACGATTAAGTAGATGGTACCCTTTTATATAGTTTTATGTTTTAAAAGTATTTTTTTCATTTTCCTCATCTCTTAATTGTTTATGCCTGTGTCAGGCACAAAGAAATGGTGTCAGTTTTAAGACTTTATCCATGATGAAATAATATTTACAAAATAATTTCTGTATATTATTTTTGTCAATCCAATTGTGTTTTTTAAAACAAAAACCTTCACTGTGAAATGAACCACATGTAAATCTCCAGTTTAGGAAACCAACATCCCAGTGTCCTGACAAAGTATTTCTTAGCCTGGCAGGCACATGACACTGTCACACACCAACAGCCACCTCCTGCCACACTTCAATGTGAATTTTGGCTGTACACAAAATAATGAGTCCAAGCTGAATGATGCCCTGGGCTACATTTGAGGTGGGGGCTGGCTTGTGGGGTGGCTCATGGCGTGTAACTCAGTCCTGTGCAGGGTCTGCAAGCTGTGCTGGGTACAGTGTTCTCTCTGCTTGGCACAGGCCTCCCGGCTCCTCCTATTTCCGCTATGCTGAGTCTTCCATGAAGAACAGCTTTGGCCTCAAGTACTTGCACAAGTTCTTCAACATCCCCTTCTTGCAGCTGCAGGTAAGGCAGGGATGTTAGTTATCCTGATGTGCTCTGTGTGTGGGACAGATTGGATTTGCTTCCTTTCTAAGGCAGGAATTTGGTATTTGGGGTTTCATTTGCTGTTAAAGGATCCTGAGTAGATTCTTTTCATTCGAGTTGGTATAACAAAATTATGTGAGAACATTGGTGTCTGTGACTGATTTAAACATGTCTCTGGTTGCAAGAGTCAGCTGTGTTGAGTTCCCAATGCTGACTGCTGGAGAAAGGCTCCATTTTCACTGGCATGAAAATGGCAGCCAGTGGTGCAGTTACCAAGTCAAAAATGTAAAATATAATGTATAATCTGTTAAACTTTGAATTTAAATTCTGTTCAGTTAAAACTCAGATGTGAAGAGATTCGGCCATTATCTGAATAGTTCAGAAACCTCTGCTGAAAATCTTTCCCCTAATGGTAAAGAGTATTAGATATGAGATCCATGTGCTTGCATCCTGTTCACATGGATCCAATCTCATATTTCCTTCATATCTGAGGATTCTTGGGAGGGCCGAGGGAAGGGCAAAGGCTGGGAAGGGTGGGATTCTAATCTCTGGGCCTTTTGAAGATCACCTTTTGGGGTGATCCTACAGGGATCCTTTGGAATGAGTAGCTTATGCTTTTTGAGGGCACACATGATGTTGTGTCACTGTTTTCTATTTGATGGGAAAAACCCAGGCAGTTGATATTTATTATCTTTCACCAATAATTGAAGTGTATGTGTGTATTTTTATGTAAATAATCCCCAGTGAAATGCCAGTTCAGAAGGAGCTGAGATATATTAGTGGATGTTACCAAGTCCTCAGGCTGCAGAACAGAAAGAACCAGGGTAAGATAACTGAATGTATAAAACCTCAGTGAAACAAGTCTAACAAATTTTTTATGGGGAGGTTGTAGAAATCTGATCTGTAAATCCAATCTGCTGCTCAGTGGAGAAGACTGAAATCTGTCGGCATGTTGCGGGTGAAATATTTGGGTTTATGACACTGCATATTTGGAGGCTTTTGGTTGCCTCCACCCAGTTTTTGGTGCTTTACTTGATGACAAACTTCACCTAAGATGGGCTGCATTGGTTTCTCCAGTGCCCCTGGCACTTGTGCCACAGGTTTATGGGCAGTGCCTCATGCTGCTCCACAGTAGCTTCCTTGGGGCACTTCACTGCTCCCAGACACTCACTGGGAACCTTGTGTTGGAGTGCACAGGGACCAGGCCTGGCCCTGTTCAACATCCAGTGCAGCATGAGCTGAAATTTGTAGGAAAATTACATCTAGACTTAATTCCTGAAAGTTCTTCTTACCCCTTCAGACATCCTTGCCAGTACCTGGCTCCAGAAAGGAGTTTTTCTCCTTGGAGCAGAGCAGGATTAAAGGAGAGGGATGCTGCTTGGTATAAAATGCACATAGGATTTCATCAGCCTCGGACGTTTCTGTGCCTCTCAGCCTGCCCTCCACAGCTTTCCAGGGCAGAGTGGTCGCTGTATCCAAGGTCCCAGGCTGTGTGGTTTTCAGTGGCACATTCCTGTGCTCAGTTTGCAGTCACACATCTTCCATGGTGAAAGCAAGGGCTGAAATCCATACCACCAGTACAGAGTTCATTCTCTCTGTCAGACTGAGCTCTTCAATTATTTATCAGTTCCTTTCCAGGGGCAAGGTTGGCAAATTCAAGGATACAGTTTAGCTGTAGGTATATCTGGAAACCCACAAATGAGATCAGGTCACCCAGGCCTCCAGATGCTGTGCTGGAATGAGACAGGATTCTACACACAGTTGAGACTGGCGTTTCCCAAGAAGCCCTTGCAAGTGCCTTTCAGCTGAAGCACTGGTCTTTAGCACATGATTTATTCCCTTCTTTTGGGTCATTGCAGAAAATGAGCTGTTTCTTTAATACTTTAATAACCAGCATGGTAAAATAGAATATATTTTTTTAAGTATTTGGAAGTTTGTTAGTAGTGATGAATTTGTACAGAATTGATTGCAATTCTCTATTAAGTATATATTCTTACTTATTGTAATCTGTGAAAATTGAACTAAATAAAACTGGTATATGTCTCAGGGCCAAAGTGTAAGGCAAGGCACACCACTTGTTTAATAGACAAGTCTAATTAAAGTCATTATCAAAGAGCCTAAGGTAAGCACCAGAGAGCAGTAGCCCTTCTGTCTCTGTTTGTTCAGCTAATTTGCTCAGCATGTATTTCACCTGTCTTAGGAAACTGGGGACAAAGAAGCAGCAAACTTGCCCTTTTTTCTCTCATTTTTGCTTATACTACATGAATAATATAAAATTATGATATCTGGTGCTTCTCAGATCTTCATTTTCTTGAATTCTGAAATCCAGAAGTTGAATTCTAAAGTCCTCATTAGTACTTCTGATTAAGGTAGCAGCTTTAAATATGAATAGCATATTTTGCTGAATCTTTCTTGTCTGTAAACGACAATAAAGGAATTGGCTTTAAGTAATAACTTTGTAATTCCATGCATACATATTAATTAAAGTCAAGTTTCCATCTGCAGAGAACACTTGAATATGATGAATAAAAAATACTCATCAAAGAAAGGAGGGATTGCTCCAAGCTCTTAACACAATGGCAAAGGTAAACATGAAGACTCTGTATGCCTTGAAAGCAGTAAATTAGCTTAAATTATCACATAAGCCCTTACATTTCAAGAAGGGCTATGTCTTCCAGTAAATTAGGGTTATCAGCTGTGATGAGTCACCTGGTCTTACAGTACAAAATAAAAACCACTTAAACTTTTTTGCTGGTTTCAGTCATAGTAGAATTTGATATAAATCAGTTGCTCCATGGAGGACTCAGGCTGTGCTGAGATTGTTCCCTGGAGCACAGCACTTGGTGTGATTTGTGTGAGCCAAATTAGTTAATTGCTATTCAAACCTCTGCAGTGGCTTGATAACTTCAGAGTTGTCACATCTGTGAAACCATAATGCCAGCAGCAGGTGCATGTAAAGACTGAACACCATCACTTCATGCAAATGTTTGTCTTCTCAGATGGAGATTATTCTGGGAATTATATAATAGATTTCCTTTTGGGCTTTTAATCTGATAGTATCTTTCTGCAGTGAGTTCAAGTGTTGTCAGACAGGGAATTAAGAATTCACCATGGTTATTGATGCTAGCCTTCAAAAATATTTGTCAGAGCAAAGCTGAAATGTACTTAGAGGATAAGTCAGTTATCAAAGCAAAACCCTCGGCAGTTTGGAGGGGGCCTGTGGTTTCTCTTGCATGTCCTCCTGCCTAGGCAGGGATACAGCCTGTGGCACCACAGACCTGCTGTAATGGGAACTGCTGTGCCAGGCTGCGAGTCACCAGCCCAGCTCAGCACAAGCTGGCCCTGCTCCTGTGCCATCCAGTGCATAGGCAGTGGGAGAGGGAGGATTGATGCCCTCAGGCACCACACATGTGGCTTTTGACTCCAAAATTTAGGAGGTGAGCTGATGGGTAGGGCCAGTGCCCAGCTGTGTGCCAGGCAGCTGTGCCTGAGCAGAGGGGATGGGGCTGTGGGGCAGGATTTGCACCACTGACAGCTCTGGTCTTGTCCAGGGGATCCAGAATGATGTTTCTGCAGGAGTGGATGCTGTGTCAGCCCTGCAGGGCTGCAGCCATTGAGGGAGGTGGCTGTGCCTGTGATTATTGATCTCTCCTTGCTGCCATCTGGATGTCGAGAAGAGAGAGCCTTTCCCCTCAGCTGAGGTTTTGTTTGGGTTCTGTGGGAAATGTGGGAAAAGAAGGACTGAGTGAGGCAGTTCTAGATTACATTAGTGCAGTCAACTCACTTTATTGCCCATTGGAAATGGGCTAGGGTGTCTGTCCCCCATCTATGGAACAGCAATTGGAGGCAGAGGGGCAAGGACTTCTGAAATGTCATTGAGTTTATAGGTTGTGCTCCCTCATCTCCCCCAACAGCAAAAAAAAAAAAATATTGGGAGACTGCATTCATCTGGGTCCTGCTCCCAGAGGGGCTGATCTAGCACAGGGAAAATGAAAAGGCCTGAGTGAATGAGTTGCACGACTGATCTCTGCTGGGGCTGAATCCAGAACAAGGTGCTTCTTTACACACAGACTTTATGGATTATCTACTTTTTACTCACTTTCCCTTTGTGCTCTGTATTTAAATGGACACCATGATCAGGGCCAGGGCATCATGATCCTATTGCACATGGTACTGTGGTAAAGTGGTGACACAGGATCTCAGTGCACTGAGATCTGTTACAGTGACCCTTCTGCTCAGACCCAGCTTGTTTTCCTTTCCTCAGCGGGAGACGTTGCTGCGGCAGCTGGAGACAAATCAGCTGGATATTGATGCAACTCTGGAGGAGCTGTCAGTGCAGCAAGAGACTGAAGACCAAAACTACGAACTGTATGTCACTGAGCTGTCTTTTCTAACTGCTTTGGGTGTCACATGAATGTTGGGCAGCTCCAGCTGTGCCATGTGGCCAGGTTGAAGGGTCTAGTGCATAACATTTAGGGATCCTTTGGATAAAATGTTGCTTTTGAATGGCATCACCTGAAGAGAAGCATGCACCTGGGGATCCATGGGAAACAGTCTGGTTCCTACAGGCATGTGACTGGGGAGGGCAGGGCAGGTGGGGCTGAGCAGCACACCTGGAGCCAGCGCATGCTGAAGTAGATAGTGCTGGAAGGGGATATTTTCCATCTCTCAGCTGCTCAGCACACAAGGTGGTTCCTCTCCTGGCTGTTGCACTCCTGTGTATTTTGTGTCTTATGACAGTAGAAAGTAGTAGCAACAACACTGCTGTCTTTTGTTCCCTTTGAACACCTCTGTACTCCTTGGTGTATTTCTGGATTGAAATAGTGACTGGTTCCTCTTGCCCTGTGTCTGTTCTGTGCCCTGGCTGTGTGCTTGGCTGCTTGTAATGGTGTTTGCCAGCTTTAGCCCCATAAAGCCAATACACCTCTAGCACAGTGAACAGAAATCCATGTTCTGTGAATTCCCATTGCAAGGCCTTTATTGCAATGGTGTGCAAGCCAGAAAAGTCAGCCTCAGAATGTATTGAAAAAAGATTATTTACAGGTAGCTTTTGTTTGGAAATTGGAATAGATTACTATGAAATATTCATGCACAGGCGTTTGGACAAGCATTTTTCAGACCAAGTTTCAAGTTCTGTAACCTTGTTCAGCATGTTTTCCTTGGAGGGCATTGAAATACCCCAATTCACACAAAGCAATGCTGTTTCCAGAGCATTCACCTCATTCTCCTCCTGAGGGACTAGTTAGTCACCTCATGCCTTCAGCACTTCTCTTGATGTCCCTACTCAAAGGACTGGGCTGTGGGCCGAAGGACAGCATGGGCTGTGCTGTCAGATAGTTTTCCATACTTTGTACTGCTTTGGTAATGGGAGGATACTTAATAGAATCAGGAGTTGGCAGAGCTGTTTCAAGCTCACACCACAAGACCTTGCTGTTTTGTCACCTCTTGCCCTTCCAGGAGCTCTAGTGTGTGCTGGGTCTCCATATGTGTCACTTCAGCTCATAAATCCAGCAGAAAAACAAGTTGGATGGGGCTTGGAGCAGCCTGCTCCAGTGAAAGGTGTCCCTGCCTGTGGCAGGGGCATGGAATGAGATGAGCTTTAAGGTCTTATCTAACCCAAACTAGTCTGAGACTCTGTGACTGTGAAATCTGTCTTTGCTATATCTACCTCAGGGTTAGTCTGTGTTGGGCTGGCTCTGAGAAGAGATCCTTAGGTCTTAAAGGCAGCAGCAGCAGTGTGGTAGTGGTGGAGGGGTGGTCAGACCTCCTAGTTCCAGCAACAGGTATTAGACTGGATCATCCCACCCAGTGTGACCACACTGCCCTGCTGGGAGTCTGTTGGCACGGTCAGGCTGCATATTAGCTTAACATGGCCTCAGAAATATCAGAGCCTGACAAAGGAGGAGTTGCTGAAATATTAAAAGCAAGACTTTTCTCTAGGATTCTGTTTTAGCAAATAAAGTGACATCCTTATGCAGCTGGCCAGCTCCTTCATGTTCATATTCTGTACAGAAGCCGAAGTTCTTCACTTTCAGAAAATAACACTTCTTTAGAGAAAGGGCTTTAAAATACCCTGGATGCTTTCTGGCTAGAGGCACAGATCCCAAAAGAAAAGCACCAGGAAGTGTCATGTGTCAGTACTTTGATCACACTAAGAGAGCTATTTTAGGGTTTTTAAGATTTTTCTATGCTCCCCAGGTAGAAACAGAGTCTGTTTGTTTAAATGGCACCTCTGTGGGACAGATGAGCTGCAAAAGGGTTACTTCAGCCCCAGAGTTGAAAGGCATGCACTTCTTACAGTCAGTTTTTATCCCTGCAGGAGGTCTCCAGGCTCAAGTTCTATAGCCAAAGACCTAATTTAAAGAAATGCTCACATTCATATGTCAGAGAACCCAGGTTTGGGTAAAGCCTCAACCTTAGTAAACAGTTTGGGGTGGGAAACAGAGTACATGTGGACACAACAGCGTGTGATAGGAATCAGAGCTTGTAGTGGTGAGGCAGGTCTGCAGTGCTCATTATTAGGGCTTGGGACAGTCCTTGCATCCATGCTTGTCAGATGCCCATCATTTTGGGATTACCAGGTGTCTTGGTTTGAAAAGACAGGTGTCTGCTAAGGAGGGCAGGAGCCTCCCTTGAAGTGGAAAATGCAAACTCCCTCCCTCTGAATTATTATAATTTTGAAATTATTATCATTTCAAAAAGAAGCTCTCGGGCAAAGATATGGGAGTAGGAGTAAGTTCTTTATTAGGAAAAAAAATTAAAATAAAAATAAAAATGCAGTAATACAAAACAACACTGACAGAGAATAGGACCTGACACCCTGTGGGTCAGGTGTTGGCAGCAGTCTGATTGAGTGGTGGCTGCAGCCCTCTTTGTGAAGAAAGTTTCCCTAATATCCAACCTGAACTTCCTCCGGTGCAACTGGAGGCCTTTTTGTTTTTCCCTTTTTATTGCTTGGTAGAGGAGCCTGACCCTCACCTGTCACACCTCCTGTCATGAGGCCTTTGTGTTAGTTGCTTCAGTTCAGACCGCACTGGGAGTTCTGCTGTGGATCACCCAAAGTGCAGAGCGAGGGGAGATGACCGCAGATATCTGGGGCCACAGGCCATGGTGTGTCTGCTGCAGCACTTCTCTGGAGGCCATTCCTGCTCTCCCGCCGTGAATCAGGGCACAGAGCACAGCGGGGTGACAGCACTAGGACATCTCGGTTGTTCCCTTCACCCCTGTGCACATCTGGTAGCTGCTCTGTCACAATGACCAGTGCTAAATTTGGCTCAGTGAGAACTGAACGAGAACAAGAACTCTTCCTCCTGCTGCATTGGGGGGGAGGGGGGGACACCCGAGGACAAAATTGATCCAAAATGTGGATCCCAGAGATAACACAAGGTGGCACACGACGCTGCCTCTTCCACCTTACATAAGCCAGCCTGGGCAGCCACTGCCTGGATGTGCCTGTGGGAGACACAATCAGCATCCAGTTCTTTCCCTGTGTTTAGGCTCCTCACTGCCTGACACACCTCTGGCTCTGGTACTGTCCTTGTGCTTTCAGACTTTACATTTTCAGTGCTGCTAAAAGAACATTTCAGCCCATTTTGAGTTATATTGAATTCTTTTAAACAAACAGTAATGACTTTTATGATGTTCTGAATTTATACCTAATTTGCTCAATTTCTCCATTTTTAATTGTGCCCAGCTTATCTTCTGTTTTCAGGAAAAACCTGTATATGTTCAGTGTGCCCATTCCCCCACAGAAGGGTGCCAGGGCTGGGCAGCCCTTTTGGTGAAGAAATTGTCCTCAATACTCAACCTTAACCTCTCTGGCACAACTTGAGTCTGTCTCCTCTCACCATGTGGGTGCCAGACCAGTGACTGCAGACAGGCATTTGGGCTCTCTTACTGAGGACTCTGCTTTGGGGAGACACATTCCCCAGAGAGACAGCTGTAGTCCCTGCAGAATCATTGGCTGGGGGGTTGGGGGTTTATTTGCTTGGTTGTTTTTTTCCATGTTGGGCATAGCTCATAATTTCAGGAAGACCTGAAATTATGGTGCTGAGTAACATCTGCACAGTGGCAGGAGGAGCTACACCAGCTACAGCCTGCTTTCTCTTCCCCTTGCCACATTTTTATCTTCTCCACTTGCTGTGAATCCTTGTGATCATCAGACAGGTCAGGAGTCAGCTTGAACTGGAATGGGGCTCTATCTAGGTCATGTTTTTTCGGGGTGCTGCGTTAAGAATTAAGTGCATCTAAGCCTGTCATCAAGTCAGTCTTGCTTGATAAGTGGGGACATGGAGCATGTCCTGTATTTTATGCAGCAGGAATTATCCTGCTGCATTCATTTTATCAGGTGGAAAACAGGACAATAGCAGGAATTAAAGCTGCTTGGCCATTGATTCTACATTCAGGGACCTGGGCTAGGGGGATTGAGTCAGTACCTTTAATGAGCCCAAAACAAACATGTGGAAATCTAACCCTTGCTAACCCCAGTTAAAATGATGTCATCCAGCTGATTAATCTTCATTTTCACAATTAATAAAATAACCCAGAGTGTTTCTTGCCACATGAAATACACTTGAACAATTTTTCACAGCATGTTAGAACCAGGAGCCAAAAAGCTTTAGTCTGCTCCCATCTTCAATATTAAATGAACACAAGCACTGACAATTTTAGGAATTGTGAGGCTCACAAGTCCTTTTGTGTTTTTTGTGTTTCCCCTGGGAACAGAGCAGCAGTAACCTCAGGCCCTGATGAATTTTTGTTCCCACAGAGCGTGCTCATCTTCAAAATTGCATATAAGTCTCCTCTTGAGAGCAGGTCCAACCACCAGTGAA